CAGTTATCAGACATCTCTGATGCCTATACATGAGTCAGATGATACAATCTGACTTCAAGAGAAAGCAATAGACACAAATGGTAATTTAGCAAAGGGAAGGGTTGGACTGACTACATCTGGTGATGTTTCTTCCACCTGGGAAAAAAGATCAAGAATTGGCATAAGAATTCCTACTACGTCAAAAAAGTAGACACTCATTGGGAGGCAGATTACAAAAAAAAATTACTGCCCTAACGCACAAGCAACAACTAAGAATAGGTTTGGGGTAAAGAAGTGATCCAGTTGTGAAAGGAGGATACCACTGGGCTCAGTGAAAGTGTGTGATGGGGAGGGGGAAGGGGTAAGTGGCCAATGCCACTTCCATGGTTCTGCATAACAAAACATTTCAATGCTCCCTGAGGACTTGTTCGCAATTCCCTACTGAAACTCAGAAGTACCTAGAGGATCACCCACACAAGTGAATACGTATTGCAAAAGATTACAGCATTCCGAGGGATGACCTTCTGCTCTGCAAGGAAATGTAGTCAAAGCTCAAAGGAATAGCCTGGACCAACCCCAGTAGATCTGCTACCCACTTTACATTACAGTTGGTACCATCCAGTCGCCAGACAAGATTTTGTATTATCAATAAGTGCAGTTTGGTCAAATCTATATGTGACTAAAAGTCATGGTCAAATCAAGAAGAGAAATTGCAGAAATTGATTTTTTATTTGATGATGTGTATCTAGACCTGCTCACAGAACTATGAGCAGAGTCAACCAAGTGAAGGTTTTACAGATACTCAATATATAAATACATTTTCTCCAGCAATACTTGTAGCAAAAGGCAATTCTAATTGAGCCAAACGATTGCACACTTGTCAAATTCTAGGTGGAGGTATGCCAAAAAAGAACCAGCAACTTCTAGATCTCTGGCCATTCCTAGGTGTGCCCTCATTTCGGCATTTGCCTGACACATACTCAAGGAAGATGTCAGCTCTCAAATGATGTGCATGCAGGTGAAAGCAGAGTCATTCAATTAGTAATCACTGTGCAATTAGGCTTTATATCAAAATAGAAATTACTTTTCTAAAAATAGCAGTGATGACGTATTACCTCAAAAGGAACAGACTTTTTAAAACAGGAAGATGAACAAACTAACAGCTCTGAAAGCCAACGTGAAACTGAAGGGCAAAGCAAAGTAATCTAATAGAAAAACAAAATCCATAAAATCAAAGCCCGGCATGCCTAACAGTCTCAGATAGCACAGATGGGGTTTGTAATCTCAGTGGGTACAATGTTTTTAATAGCATTTTCTGAGATAATTCTGTTATTTCGTTGTTGCAAGGAACTGGGAAATCAGCACGCTGTTTCAGATGTCACTGGTGGTAAGTTTTGATAAAGGCCAGTGTTTTTATGCAATTTAATGGAGAAAAGGAGAGGAAAAACAATAAATTTAACAAGCTGGAGTTGAGAATACTCTTTTATCTATCACTTTATCATCAGTGAAGAAATTTTGTCACTATGACAAATTGTCATCACTGGAAATGAGAATGACCTTGACAGATACCAAGTTCTTTAAACAGGAAGTTACGGAGCAACCTGAGTAACTTCACCGGCATTAAATCACTACGAACAAATGGCATTTAGCAGGGGCCTAAAAAAAATAAAGTGCGAAATAACAGAGATACCAAGGAGAGGATGTAATATACCCTCAATACCAACAACTGCTTCTAAAAGATTCAAGAGTGACAATATAACATCTATTTTTAAAAATGGAATTGAGACAAAACATAAGAAAGAAAAACTGAGCATTTCAGTCATAATTTCTCTCTTTTTATTCAAGCTTACCTTAAATTTGTATTTTTGTTCATTTCTGACTTTCTCAGTTAAGCTCTTTCCTGACGTTTTTTTCTCTCCACTTTTTCATCAACGATGTATCTCCTGACAAAAACCCTTAGTATTTGAGTATTCAAGCATATTCTGTTCAGTCATTCTCTTTTCCTTTTTGTATATAACTTCATATTTTTCTCTTGATCTTTTCAATATTTTCATATTTTTCTTGATCTTTTATCATAAATCACACGTCTGTTCTTCATTAATTTTGAAGTTTCTGTTTTTCTTCTCTCATTTTTTGCTAACTTATTTATTTTCTATAACATACGTGATTCTTGAGCATGTCAATGCAATCTTGAGTAGAAAGGCAGCATTCATTATCCTCATTCCATTCATGAGGCATAAAGAAATTACTTTTTTATTTAATCTTCCAAAGGAAGACTCTGGCAAATCAGAATTAGAACCAAATTCTTAGGAGTCTGCTCAGAGCCCTGACTAAAAAAAAAAATACATCCTTTCCACCCATCATATAGGCAACATAGGTTCATTCATATGCTCATGGGAACATGTGCGTGAACGCTCACACACAAATACTATTCCAAGTGCTGAACACTATCAATAAATATTACCCAAGTGCATCCAACATTTACCAAAAAGAAGATGGATCTAGGTCATACGCCTCTCTCTCCGTGCGCAATTGTTTACTGTCGTGCTCATGACGGTGCTTTGGCCAGGAAACCATATGACAGAGCGGTCCCTACAAAGGGATACCTTCCACTGGGAATGCCCCCTTGGCAGCAGCAGCAAAAGCCTCTGAACACTTCCTCCTGCCTGAAGCAGCTACTATCCATCTCTTCCGGTAAATCACAGCAGACCAGAAAGACACAACCCAAAGGCCCCCACAGCTGGATCACACGGCATTACGGACTCACCCTCCTGTTCAAGTCAACAGGACTTGTTTAATTCAGATAACGTGGCACAAATCCAGGACATGTATATCACAACAGTTTGAATTCATCCTGTCTGGAGGCAACCAGTGAGCAGTACCAGGAAAAAAATGTCCTCCATCAGATTCATTCGATTAATCAAGTGCTAACAATAAACATGTTTAAAACTAGAATACTGTATAAAATAATACCTGTAAAAACAATTTTCAATTCTGGTAGGAATTTTTTTTTTTTTTAATTTAGAAAACTTCATTTATTTTTCCAGCATAAGGAAAAGCCTTTATGAAGACTTTCTGATGGATAATGTTCATGAAAGTATCATTTTTACAATTATTTCTATTACCAGGCTCAAAATCCTAACATTAAAGACATTACTTTATCTTCATACACATGAAAAGGCTGATAATTGTATGAAGAAATCATCCAATTAGGTCATTACGAAAGGAGTTTGCTAAATTTTTGAGCCATGGAATTACAACATTCCTTATCTTTAACAGAAGTAGAGCATGGGGAGTAATTGACCATCAGTTGTCCTGAGAGAGCTCTTTAGCAGTTGCTTTGGGGCAAAGAGCATAATAACGGAAATATTTTGAAAATCTTGGAGTCAGGCAGCTTAAAGATCTTTTCAATTTCTCTTTCTTGTTTTAAAAAGTAACAAAGGTACAGACAAACCTATTCATTTTATAAACCTATTCATTCATCTCCTGCTCTCTACTTTCTTTACACTGTCCAACATAAATTTGTAACATCAAACAGCAAGAAAACTCTCCACGTCCCAGGTTCCCCGGTCTGGGCAAGCAAGATGTGGAGCTAGCCAGACTTGGGATGGACTCTGACAAATCAAAACCTTTTACAAACTTGTCTGTGTTCCTAACGATCAGGGAATATGCTACAGAATAAGATTGAGAAAAGCATCTCACACGGGCCCAGCCGTGCTTCCTGAAACTCTCTTCAACCAAAGCAGTTCCTAGCTGCACTGTTAAATCAGATCACTCTCTTCTTGTTCTGCTCACATATCCCAGCCAGATTAAGCTAAGGGCCATTATCTTGCCTATAGACAGTAAGTGCTGGGAAAATTTAATTTTAAATTAATCTAACCCTGAAGCGTAACTTGTTTTTCTCATCATCTTAGCTTACACCATTAGTGCAAAAATGGTATTTGTGGTCATTGAATGACGCACTAGGACTCAGTTTGAACACTGTTAGTTAGCTCAAAGATTTACTTTGAGAATGTCACAAGCTGACTAGATGCTTCAGAAAGATGCAGTTTCTTTATCATATATAGTCCTCATCTATACCATCTGTTCAGTTCTTCATAGCTACAGACACAGTTACCATAGTTAAGGTAGCATTTACAAACATTAATCAAATTATTTATTTGACAAATTGTTCCTAATCCTTAACAGAGGACATAATAGGTATCGAAAAGGTATGTTAGGATAACCGGTCAATTAATCTATGGTGCTAACAGTGCATCTGTTTATAGGGCAGAGGAGATAGGAAAAGTTAGCTCTGAAAACAAACCATCACCTAGCTAGCATGCAGTATGTTGTTCACTGCAAATCTAGCACATGCTGTTTACAGCTCTGAAATCACAGCAGGCAGGCAGCTGCCACTGCAGCCTTGCCCAGACCAGGGAGAGAAGTGGCCCATCAGTCCGTATCTGCACCACCACCACGTTCTGTGGTACTTTTTGGAAAAGCACACAAGCTTCACATCAGTGGAAATAACAGGGCTGTTTTTACAGTTGGTTTGCCTGGCAGGAAGAGGGGAATTTCCCCAATTCCAAACTTAGGATTTAAATTCCTTCTGATCACATAAAGAATGAATTCAGAAGCCTGAAATAAGTTATATGCAAATTTTTAGCCAACAAATAACCATGAAATGCAATTGTATAAATCAAGTCTTTGAGAAATTTTCTTCTTTGTTACTGCTCACCAAATTCAACTCAAACATATGATGTAGTATTTCTCCGTTTTTAGTAATTTCTGAAACAATTTATTAAAGCACACTAGGAATTCCTAAAAGATTTCAATCAACAACAGTGCAAGTTCCTCTATCACACAATGGGTATATAAGGACTTCAATTTGTTATTTATTTTTATCCCACTTACCAGTGTAAGCCTCAATTTGATTGGTCAGGCTTGGATGTTTGGAATCACGGCCTAACATCTCCAATCTATCTTATAAAATCTCATCAAATAACTTTTAGAAGAGAGAAGGGAAAACAGCATCATACCTGAGATTGTGCATTAATATTGGCTCCTTCCTTAACCAGAACTTTGACAACTTCAGCTTGTCCTGCTAAGGATGCAATGTGCAGGGCTGTATTCCCTTTCTGGTATAGGGAGGGAAAAAATGAAAGACATTACCATTCTTCAGGAATAATTTCAACCAGCAGTTCTTTATAACATTCATTTTTTTGAGTACAAATCTACCTGACAGTTCCAGGATGCTTGATAAACATCACAGGGGATAGAACTGGTAGTTGCAGCCATGAAGATTTCTTGAGTGGTTGTGTAACACTAACATCCTAACATAACTTTTGAGTGAAATTATGGAATGGGACTGGGGCATGGGACAAGCTTCTAGGCAAAATTTAGTAGGGGCTAACAGGTTTTTTCGTTCAGATCCAGAGATCATGTCCTGTAGAAGGTAGCTGAAATCTAGAAGTCCTAGAATTCAAGCTGTGAATCACATGTAAAATGAGATTTCCCAGTACAAGACACAAAAGGAAGATCTGACTGTTAAGTAGCAGAAGCCAGCCTTTTAAATGGAGAAGATAAATATTTTTTCCCTTCTCTAATTGGCATAAAATTAAAATGCATCTTTTTGAAAGGCGTTAACTTTAAGTAAAGGGATGCACTGCACGACAAAAATAATCTCTCACAAAACAGCAGCAGTGCAGTAGACCACTGCTTTTATAAGAGCTTTGTATTTTTCCAGGCCAGTCTCTCATCCTGGGAGCAATATTTAAATGGCTTTATTAAAGAATCAAGGTTCATAAAACCAGACCAAAACCCCAAAGTCCTATCTAGAACCTCGGGGTTCTACCAACAGCTTCACTAAGAGGTGACTTAAAGATGTTTTTGAAGAAGGGAACTTGGTTTTCCATCAATGATGGAAATCACAAGTTCAGCAAGAGGGTCTCTGAGCTGAGGACGGGTGTTAACCTTGATGGAGATCCTGCGCATCAGAAATCATAAAAAATAAGAGAGTGCCACAGGGACACAGTGGTGGTAACTAAAAGCAAAGGCTGAGGACAGCCAGCCAACCTAGACACTAGGAGGCAAACATTACATCGTTCAAGCCAACAAATCTGGCCCATCACAAGGAAATCAGCACCCATAGACAAACAACATACTGATTGAATGTTTTGGACGCATACCTGCGCCTGCCTGTGGAAAGGTTGAAGGCAAAACAACTTATCACACAGGTGTGTTTTCCATAGTGCTCTTGAGTGAAAAGTTTCTGAATATGATACAGTCAATTACCAATTTTCACAGATTTGAAAAAATCTACTATTTTGAGCTATATTCACTCTTTGTATAATGGCGACTTGTCATTAGAAATAATGAAAAATCTGGCATTGCTATAACCTTTTAATGCTTTCCCTGTAAACAGATTGTACAAAGAAAATAAATCTTCACTTACTACCGATAAGCTTCAGTAATGAACATAGACCCACAGGCCATAAGTGAAATAACATTTTAAATATCGGTGAGGTATTTATATTATTATCTTATTTTGTACTTTTTTTCTTTTTTCCTAAATTCCTCCCATGTATTTGACTTTTTATTTTTGTGAATAAACTTACAGACACACTTGAATTACCTTAGTGGCAGAATCCACAGCCGACCCTCTTTCCAATAATTCTTGTACCAGTCCCACATGGCCTTCTTTAGCTGCCAGGTGCAGAGCATTGAGTCCATTCTGTAAGCACAAGGACCATATCAATTACAAATATCAGTTCTGAAGATACACATTCCTACCTTACCCTAGTATAAGAAGAAGATTAGTAGCTGGAATACTATTACATCTCTTAGCTGACTGTCTACATAAGTCAGATACTTTGGACTTGGCTATTTAAGCCAAGGCACTGTGTGACAAACTTCTCCAATAACATTTTTCTCATAGCAACAAAGACATCAAAACAAATCATATTTTGCAAGTATCCATAAGAGATTCCTTCCTTTCTGTTTCACATTTCCCCACACTACTACCTTGGGTATCTCCACAGAGCCCATTATTACAAAATTTGAGTGCATATCTGCCTTCTCTGTACTGTAACTTTATCTAGCCCGACTGAGGTATTATCAACACAGAGAAAAAACAGGACTTAGACAAATTTACACAGGATGTGTCTATTCAGTCAGGATTATTCCAGGCTGATGTAGCTGTCCTGAACCCTGGACTCGCCTCCTCTCCTCTGGGATAACTAGTATCAAACAGAAAACCAAAAGCACAACTAGGACAAAATGGCTGTCGATTACACGTGGCTTGCAAATTATATTGATCCTTGACTTAGTACCTCTGCTGGTTTGTGATGAGCAAGTCTTCACTGAACTTTGAGGTTTTGTAACCTCATTCAAAAAGGAAAAGAAAATTAATGAAATAAGAGCTAGGATTTTCAAAAAAAGCAACCTAAGAAAGTTAGCATCTAAATCCTTTTCACATTAAGTAGGAATATGATACTTTATCTCTTAGAAATTCCAGCCATGGAAACTGTATCTCCCTCTTCCTAGTATCCCTATTCCACCCAAGGGAAAAATATAAAATGACAGTCTATTGTAGCTGAATTGCCAACCTATTTTTCACAATCCTACGGTAATTTTCACGGTACATCAGGCAGGTGACAGCAGCAGATACTGCCATTGCCCTCCAGCATTCTCCTGTTTTCCATATTGCAAGCATCATAAGCAATTCTCAGGTATTTGAGTAACTTGCAGCAAGTTTAGCACTGTGTAATTTTTATCACTTTACTTGTCTCTATGCAGTTCATACTCATTTAAATTGCAAAATAAACAAGCAGCTTTCTGGTCTTTTATTTGTCCATCCACAGAGGCAGTTCAAGCTTGTAATTCCCAGTAGGATTTTAAAGCACTTAGCACTTCACTGGAGGCATTTAATGGGAATGGGTCCAATGGCTGCAGACACAGCAACCCAAATGCATTTCTGAAGTAACTCCATTTAATTCTACATTCATGTAAGCTGCTCAGGCAGATTTTGTGGTCAAATTCAGAAGTGTAACTACCAGAAAAGCAGAGGAACTGAAGGAAGGCTACATTCACAAGCTGCCAAAAGAAGAAGAATACCCTTACGCAGCCTAGTAGTTAGGAAATGTTGATGAGAAATGTGGTTTCAAACCCCGTTGTGCGGGTAAGGCAGCAGCAAGCAGATCTTCCCTATTCCAGAGGAACACTCTTACTACCGAGCCGCAGAGCCCAAGGGTGGCAGTAATGCCGTGCCCTGGACCAAGGGTAGATTCTTAGCCAAAATTATGCGGTTAGGTTGACCATAATGATCAAGATGAGGAACGGTGCACATGTCAGTGATTTTTTTTGCAGGCTGAAACCATTTCATAAAGCTCTAATCTTCCTTGGTTTTTAATCTCAGCTGAGTATTAAATAACCATAATTACTACCTACAGCGGTTGAAAGCTTTGAAATAGTATTTTGTGGGGAAACACATAGTGTTCTTCTCATTGTTTGAAAACAAAGACCTGTTCTCATATCTAATCTCACAGATTCAGTCATCAACACTTTCTATGAGAGCATGAACAGTAACTTTGACTCCTTACAGTTGTATACAACTGATGTATTGCTGTGACATGTTATTAACCTCTTTCACGCTCTGCAAGCAGACTGAAGTCACCAAACAGCAGAGAACCAGCAATATTGCATAGCCCACACAAATTATGCGCGCACACATGCCTCTGAATACGAAAAGTTGAGGGCAAACATCTTTTTTAGTTTACCGTATGCCAAGTTATGGAGAAAGCAAGGCTCGTCTCAGTGCTGAATCAGCAGCATTCTCTTAAAATACCTGTATTCATACACCTAAGACACATATCTAATGATACCACATTAAGCAGCTGAAAGCTAATATTGTTGCATAGATTAGGTGAGTTTCTTTGAAACATATGGCTTTCTTTATTCATTAAAACTTCAGCAAAATGAATACATGAGGTCCAGTAAAAACGTTACAGAAAGAAACTATAGCCTAAATACAGTTCCTACTGTACACACTCAAATTCCCTAATTCCTTAAATAAAGTAAGCTGGGGCAAGCAGCAGCAGAAGCAAGCACTGCACTTTAAACGTTGAGGGCCAGCACGACTGAAGCCTTAAAGCGAGCTTTGTTCCTCCATAATCAAAACCAGTGCTGTAATTATTTCCCAACCCACATGGCTGATCCATGCTACTTATGATGACGGAAGCTCAGATTTAATCTATGCAACTCCTCCGTTCCTGTCAACTGGATTCTTGTATTTTAGAACAACAAAGGTTTCTGACACTTCCCTTTTTCTCTCCCAAGCCTACCAAAAAACTTTGGGGGGGTGCGGGGGGGGGGGAGATGAAATTAGTTGTCTGCTAAGCAAAACTCTACAGCATAGGGACTGCTCCTGCCCACAAAGCATACGTATACCGTTAACTACCTTTCTTTTAGAGGCTCATTTGTAATTCTAACTCTCATAGAAGAACATAATACTAAACCTCCCAAGCTTGGTTCTTCAAGTGTTTCACTGGAAAGCCTGATTTCCCTCAGTTCTTTCTCTCCTCTACCACTGAGCTAGCGGCATCAACGCTTTGTATCCTGTGGAGTGCTACAAACGCGCACGCATACCACTACTGCTCACAGCACTTACAGTGTCACCCTACATATTGTCACCTCACCAGAAGAGCCCACAGATTTCTTGTACATCACAGAAATCAGCAACCTTTTCTAAGCTAATCAAAAGTCAGTCACTTTTTTTCCCCATAAGACAGGCACTTAAGTCTCACTGATATTGTCTAAAAATCACCCAAGGAAGTCTGTGCTACTTCTGCCTTTGTATTCAGTTGCCTTATGGAGTGATCCTCACGGAATGGAACTTCGTCAGCTGCTGCCCGGTTCAGCATCGATCACGCTGCGCCATTTACTCCTTCTGGGACATCACCCAGATCGCTGCTACATCCAACAGCAATAATGGCTTATACTATTCCCGCCTAACGCTGTTATGCCAAAGCCAACTGACCCCACAGAAAGGCAACTTCTTGGCAGAGCTCAGGAGAGAGCACGGCATGGAAGCATGACCACCAAGGCAGGGCAAGGCCAGGATTGCTTCTTCTGTAGTGGTATTGACTTATTAAAAAGACAAAATGCAGCCGCAGCAGATGTCTAGCATTACTGCAGCTTCACCGACAAACTGCCTACCAAAGCTGCAATATGGGCACAGTGTGAGCTTTTACACCCTCCCTTCTAAGCTCAGCTGTGACAAGTATAGACAATAACCTAGTAGTCCTAGAAAGTTTTACTTACCTTCTGCTGGTGAGACTTAGTAAGAAGTATAAGGAACATAAAAATGTATAGATGGGGGAAAGAAAGTGTTTGAAGGAAGTGGGGAAAAATTCTTTATACAAGTGAACATTTGCTTGTGTTACTTCAGTATACAATGATCTTGGCACTAAAGAAAACAACCTTTGTTAATTATGATGATTCTTACTTCCCTAAAGTTTACTTTTGTTTGAAGGCATTCATTAAGCACTTAATATCTTTAAGAACATTAGGAAGGAGAAAGTATATTAACAAAATTAACGCTCTTTTTTCCTTCACACTAAGAGTCTGACCCCTTATAACTCCCATTGACTCTGACGGAAATTGGGATGCAACACTTTCCAGGAAGATTTGCCAACATTTGAGTTTCTGATTACTCTTGCCTTTGACACACAAGGTTAGAATGGCATTCAAGCCACTTAAAGAAAAAAAACCATGAAAGTCAACAAAAATAAAACAATACAAAAATCTATTTTTTTAAAGTTTTGACATTCTCTTGAATCATGAAATTTAATACACTTATATGAAGTCCCTTCCACTGATGCTGTGTTCACAGGCTTGTATACATACCAACAGGCCAACAGCAAAGCGTAAGTTACAAACACAATGAAAATTAAAAAGCTATTGTGACTAATTCTGCATGGTCGTGTTAACTCCTTTACATGTTTTGCCAGAGTTAAGAAGGCATCTGCACTGACCAGTAGAGACTGAGACTAAAAAGCAATATCATAGTCTTTGTTGAAGTCAAATACTTTTCTCCATCTCTTTAATAGATGTCAGTCTAAGGTTGCTGCAAACTCTCCTCTGAATAAATCTCTCAGGGAAGTAAAAAGTGCATGTGGTCAACCTCTTTTCAAGAAGGATTTGGGAAAGGGCACATTAGAGAGCTGGGCATGGCTGTCTCAAGTTCAATGGTGGACGGTTGAAAAAGGAAAATAATTTCAGATTATGAAAATTCTCCCTTTATGTTGCTTTATAGCCTATGGATTCATGAAAATGAATTAACCTACTGAGTGACATCAACATGTGATACTGTCGACCTCATTATGACTACAGTGCTACTTTAGTCTATAGTTAGCAGTATTGGGAGTATTAGCTGCTTTCCATTTGGACTGAGGAAGTAATTAATAGCTGGTGCTCTGTCTCGCTGTAACTGAAGCAATAAAGACACCGATCAAATTATAAAGAAGCCAACAAAACAAGAGCAAAAGCCAAACAGATCTAAGTTTTAAAGAGCCTGGGAGCTGGAGGCCGCCCCCAAACTACCTAATATTTCAATCCTTTTCTGTTCAAGGTGTCAGACTTCACCTACGTTCCTTGTGAATACAGAAGACTTCAACACAAATGCCAAAATCCATCAGTTCTTTCCTTTCAAGAAACTCTTACCACCATGAAAAC